TGAAATGATTCCTCATATTAGTTGTGAGATATATGCCCTTATAATTACTGTAGGTACTCTTGAAATTAAGCCATATCACAATGGATATCCAAAATATGAGTACTTACACTGCCTTATAGGTACTATAATGTCAACGTCGTCGTTCGTGCCCCAGAAGGCCAGAATGTTAACCATATTTTAAGATATGCAATACAAGTTGAGACATTTTACACACGTTGATACATTATACGTATATATTATTATTTCACTTAGTTGGATGTTTTTCGTGCACACAAGACAAAAATGTATGGAACATAAATACGACTATGCGGGTTTCGTGCACTATACAAATATGAAAGAATGTTAGAAATGTTTATACAAAATAATATACCAAGAAACGTATTATATATTATTAAAATGATGTGTCGCGTGTGTGGTGTGCACTATGCAGTATTATAATATATACACTGCAGTTTGTCGGCCAGGGACGGGCAAATATTACAGTCACAGTTGGCCTCGAAACAAGGCGGCGGCCCTAAAATTACAAGTATGTAATATATCATAAAATTTTTAGAACCGTGAGAACAACAGATATTATAATATAGCTTACTAAATACTATTTTTTTTTTGTACATTAATTGTACGGTTATTAAATAAATTAGTATAATATTGTATTACATTACACTTCTGCAGCACGTGCGTGATGTTCGGATATCGATTTTATTTTCTGCGGTGTAATATATTATAACTGGTAATATTATATAATTACATTTTATTTTTACAAAATCCGTTTTACACGGCGTATAGGAATTATTATAGTTTACCGTTGTACCGCATAACGTAATATTATGTATAACGTYGAGACAAAAACATATTTTAAGCAATACCACCGCATCGGTCCCTCGTGAGTTTCTCGTTTCTGATATTTTTAAGTTGGCCGTCCCACCGCTGCACCGCCGTCGTTATACATTATAATATTATTAAACTAACTAGTTTGCCCATCCCYGATCGCGTACGGGATGCGGGAGTCGGCGATACAATATATATTATTACATACACACATAATATATACCTATAGTATATTATAATATATTATATACATATTATATATATATATATATATATATACATATATATGCCATATGGGTAACCAAACCATCGGTGCGTCGAGGAAAAGACTATACACATCGCTGTATTGTGTACCACGGCCCACGGGGCATGGCGGTAAACAAACCACCGTCGGTGAGTATACTTCCGCCGCGAATGCYGATTATTTTCGACGTATCTGCAGTATTTCAAAGTGGGCACCGCCGCCGCCTCCTCGAGTTATTTCCGACGGTCAGTGTCCGTCGTTAGCRCAACCGTTTTTATTTACATTATAATATCGTTATGACACGATGGTCGGGTTGGCTATTATTATTATTATGGCAACGGCGACGGCGCTCTACACGTGACAATAAATTACACTCCATTATATTGTTTTGTACGGTACACTTATTTTATTCCAACCTCGCGTGCCCGTCGCACCGTCCATCGAAATACGCGATACCGTTTTTCTCATTCTCACTCGCACTGTTTCCCTCTCAATCACTCTCTCTCACTCTATCTCTCTCTTTCTCTCTCATTCTCTATCTCTTTTCGACACGCTATCGATTTATAAATGGATATCTATGATAATTATTGTAGGTACGCAAAACAGTAAAACCGGTCTAAGATGRAATTTCGCCGACGCAAGTGACTGCGCGGGAAAATCGAGGTTAGAATCCAGAAGTTTCCCGACTAGTTGAAAACACTGGAAACATTCCAATAAGAAAAAAAATACGCGTTTAACGAGAGGCGTGCATTTAAAGGTACAACAATAACATATATAATGGCACAGATCGTTGATCAAACATGATTGTTAAAATGAACAATAAATAGGTTGGCGATGAATGTAAACGATGTAAGATTTCGATTTTAAGCTCATTGTTTTGATTCTTATATCGTACTATATTTAATATACGTGTAATATATGAAGGTATTTACCGCTTTTACAAATTACAACTTCACGAAACCCAGATTTAAATTGATAAAATAGTCATTACTCGTTGCCGATGTTGGCAATTTGAGTATCTATTTTATAGCATATACTTTTATATTCTACAATATTAATAATACAGATTACTCAGATCATTCAGATGTTGGATTTTTGATTTATGCGACTACTACAAAATATCATACACGAATATTTTTTAAATTTAAATACAGCCTTGGCTGTATATTGTACTTATATAACTATTTTACTATTTTATAAAAAATAATAAATTATGAACATACATTATTATAGGTACATATTAAATGTGCGAAATATTGATACATTAATATCTAAAATGTATTTTAATGAAGTCAGAAAATATCGATAAAATATAAATTTGATATTATTTAAAAAGTACGTYTSTTTAAATTTTTATTWAAAAAAATATTGCATTATTTTAGAAAGGTTTGTTCTATATTTCAAAATGACAATAGTAACAACAGCTAGTACCCATAAATATTTTATCGAAATATTTTGTCATTCACAACTGTCTTCGACAAAAATKATCCAAAACTGATTTTTTCTAGGAAACAAAAAATATCAAATTTATAATATTMGACATTATATTAAACGTTTGTCATAAACATATACCAACCTCAATATCGGTRTCGTAATGCTTAGGTTAGTAATCAAAAATATTCTAAAATATAAATACACTTTTTAGAAAATAAGTAAGAATAACTTATGAAGAACGTTATATTTTGTTTCCAAGATTTTTTGAATTAAAAACAAAAAAATGTATCTATCCAAATCTATAACAAATCTAGGAAAAGAAAATTTAAATTGTTAACAGCGCTAAAAAGTTAAAACATATTAACTTAATACCTCTATACCTTTCAAAAATAGTAAATTTTTAAACACAAAAGTCAAGAACCAGATCTACCTCATAACTTATATATACATATACAATAAAATATGAAGAATACTGCAGTCATATCCCTCACATGTAAAATAAAAAGTCCTAAATTGGCCACTATTCGTCTCCGCRATAACCATCCACAATTAATATTCGTAACTGTGGAAAAAAMATATGAGGAATACAATAATACTCATTCAATTTACAACTTTTTCAAAACCATCGGTATTGATATCAACATTAAAATGAAGATGAAATAACTATTAATTATATAAACATGTAASTATAACATTTAAAAAAAATAATATTTTGACTTAGTTCAATAATAATTTAAAAAAAATGATTTGTAATGCTAAAACTTAATAAAGAATAAAAATTGTACATTATTATAGATTTATTAAGTATATAAAATCAATAATACTGAATGTATGAACTTCACAAAATTTATTGAGGTGATATATTATAAGAACTTCGAATCAATTTAAATTATAATATCAAATCACTGCACTTTTTTTTCGACGATCTAAATTTTGAAATAATACGCCATCTTAAAGATATAATATTATGTAGACGTAAAAATGTAAAATAGTATACATCATAGGGGTTGTTGAGTTGTTGAGTATACTCGTATCCCTTTACTAACGGTATTAGGTTACATAAATAAAAATGTGGTGTATAATATTGTGTATATAATTATAATATAATATGCTATTACAGCTACTAGCTAGTATAGGCTATTATGAATCTAGCCTATATTGTAATTAATTATATTATATTTTATATTTTTTTTTATTGATAAATTATAATATATTGTTAGGAACAAACTTTAAATGCATTTTGATATTTTAAACACATATCATTACTAATTTATCAGATTATCTATATGGCTATTATGTATAATTATAGTCTTGATATCGTAAACACGTTATATAAAACACAACACTGACAGTGAATTAAAACAAATGGTCATAATTTATAGATACCATATTTGGGAATTAAAATACAGCAGTCTTACATCAGTATACTAGGTACCACGTTTTCCGTTTTAACAACTGGCACAAAAATCCATCGACGATATTGGCCAATAAATGTTGTCACTTATCAAATAATATTATTCTATTGTAAATGGTTTAATAAGTATATTACACGGTATATATTGTCATTGTTATCATAGACCGTAGTCCGTAGTGTGTAAACAATAATCACTAAACTTGGTACGGAAATTTAAATTTGAACACGAACGTGAGTGCGTGACGTCTCTGGAAAAGTATATCGAATGAAATCATTAGTTTTACCAATTAATGTTTTTTTTTGTCAGCGTCAACTCCAAGTTGGGAAGATTCGATTTCTCATCCATGTTTTCTGGTTTTGTATGAGTACATAAAAATTATACAAATGGCCAATGTATGACATCATGTTCGAGTACGTGATCATGATATTCATAGTACCTATACAGTCATACTAAATATGCAAATCAAACCAAGTTTGTAAATTTTTATGGAAAAAAAAAAATTTTGAAATAATATAAAAAAATTAAAACTAACCGTCGAGGGACAAAGAAATATTCCTACATGTTGTATGGTTTTTGAGTTTATCGTTTCTTATTCAGGGATCATCTTTAGGCGGTCGAAGAGACAGGTTTCGCGGTTTCGCCGTATTCTTATATGAAAAAGAGGAAAGAAACAATCGCCGACATGATGGGCATTCGATGCACAACGACGACACGACGTCAGTAATTCGGTATTATAYATTATTATTATTACTATTATCATCATTTCGATCCGCGGACGAATGTGAGTGTGCATATAACGGTGGGGGACATCGCTGCCGCCGTGGTCGGCGAGCGGCAACAGCGGCGGCGGCCGCCAGTTGGGCGCCAACCGACACGAGATCGTTTCCCCGCTCTACCTCTTCCCCCCAAWCGTCACGAAAAGAAGGCATTGRCGGCGGTGGTACCCCGTCCCCGACGATCGTTCCCCCCCCATGCCTAGACAGCCGCTCCCCTCGACCCGACCTGCCTCTCTTACGCGTTCGACGCGCGGAACAAACGCCGGCAATTCACCGGCCGCCGCCGACACGACTAACAGCCGGCATCGGGTCGCGCCCGCACGCGCACATTCAACGCCCGCGTTTTGAAATGATTATCGTTGTACGGTTTTTTGTCCATAGAGTGCTACGCACAACCACGCTCGCCGYCGCTACACACTACTTTGCGTACTCCACGGCAGCCAGCCAGTCATTCACTCGCAGTCAGTCGTCCAGCAGCAACGCCGGTGATAGTATATCGTACTCAGCRACGATTTTGAATAGTCGTTTTCGATACGTGTAATAAATTAATAATATCGTGCTATACGAAAACAGCCATAAGACGCGTTTCGCCGGACGACGATGTTGCAATCGCTATAAACGCCGAGTCTCCTGATCAAATAACTTTCTTTTCTTTTTTTTACGGTCTTTTCCATTTGATTTTCCCCGCACAGACGGTGGAACGCGGAAAAACAACCGTCCGAATATTCTCGTTTTTTCCGCGTCCGCTCGACGGTCGCCAGCCGTCGTTTTCGTCGCTGAAGAAGCAGTGACCGACCGGTAACGCTCGCACGTGCACACAAAGCACACACTTACACGGAGCGGCGGTAGTCGACCCGGACGACCTCTTCAGAGGAGAAGCACATTGCGGTTAAAGTGCAACAGCGGTTTGCGAGTCGTCCGCACAAGACAACGTTGCGCGCGACTGCGCGTGAACCATCGATACCGACAGCTCCAGAACGTCCTTGCAGAGGTTGTTCGCGCCGGTGATTTCGGCTAAAAAGTACGAGACAGCAGTAAAAYAATAMTAACATACCTACTTTATTATAGTTTTAGGTGTTTAATATTAATAGTAATAAACGATAATAATAAAAACGAAAWTTATTACACCACTGTGCGTGCTATACCGCCACCGTCGCCGTTATTGTCATTGTGTTTACTTGCCCACAAGGTGTTCGATCGGCAACAGCCGTCGCGCAAAACACCTGCCCGTCCGTCAAAAGAGTCGTCGGTGAGTGCAGACGGTATTGTCGGCGTACGTTTCTAAACCTCTGGCGAGATGGACGGCGACGACCGAGGTTTACCACTCACGATATCCACCTACATACCTACATAATACTTGTTAATATCTTGACTCGTATCGCATTCAAATAACAGCTCTCGGCGTGTTTTTGTTTTCGCAGAAGCACGTTTTCCCGACATCGAGAAGAGATGACTATCAAAGCGGCAACAACAGCGGCGGTAGTGGCTACCGYGTCCACCCCCCAGAGGAGACGTGCCAGCGGTTTCGCGAGGATGGCGGCCTTTTTGTTGGTAGCCTCCGTCGTCTTGGCCGATGTGATCAGAGTCTGTGAGTATCGATATGATGGTTTACTAATAAAAATAATAATACGAATCACAGTCGCGTATCTGAAAATTCATCTGCAGTTCTCAATATACATAATTTTATACTTATATGTGCCTATTATGGCGTGTCCGTACATTACAATATAATATCGGGTTACCCGGCCCGCGGCGGGTTACGGTGGGTGCTGACGGGGAGGTGGCAGGAGATCCCTCGGGGCTGCTAGCACCGTTTTTTTTYCCCATCTACGGCGTGTTCTTTTTTTATACCGCTTTCCGAGAAACTCACGAATTCCGAAACTGCTGTACACAATACGACGTTAATTACATTACATAATGCGATTATCTCCGTTACCTTGTTGTTGCTGCGCGGACTCGTGCGCGCGACGCTTGTAACATGGTATTAGGTATTTATTAGAGGAAATTGTTATCGCGCCTTTAAAAAACGACGCTCCAGCCGGTAGTCGGAGGCGTTTTTCAACAATATTCTAATAATATTTATTGCAGCACACGCACACCTGCTGCTGCTGTTACCGTTACGTAGTGTACATACAGATAAAATAATATTATATTAGTACATTACGACCGTTGTTATAGCCCGATTATATGTACACATTACGCATGCTCCTTGTACGGAGTTATGTGGTTTTCGGTAGTCTTTACGGAAAATTATTACGACGAACCGTGTATAATCTAAATAGCCTTAACGTCGCGTCGACGTTCCGCTTACAAACTGCTCTGCTYTGGTTCTTATTGGATCCTGACCGGACAATCGGGACGGGGAAGCCTCTCGTTCCGTTTATTTTCCGTCTCGTAATATTTTGTTGTAATATATTATTATTATCTACCTACCTACCTACCTACCTAACTATATATTAAAATATTTTAACCGTCGTCCCGTGTTCTTGCGGCGCCCCTTGCAGTTCACACACACACGAGCGCTCAATCCATTCCGCGCGTCGCCGCGCCCTTTCTTTCACGTTTGACGTCCGTACTCACGACTATTAACCGACGCAGCCACCCCTTTTCCCCCCGCCACCACCACAGTCTAGTTTTTATTTTTATTAGAGTAGGTACGCGTCCTACTCCTCGAAGGGCCTAGCACTGCCGCCGCTGCAGGATTTGAAATGTCAAGAGTTTATGTACGCTCTGGCAGCGGCCTCGTGTATATTATTATTATTATTATTATTAAAATATGTGCGTAGTGACTAATGCGTTTTTTTCCCCCGTTTACACCATGTGACTGATGAGCAGTCGGGGAGAGCGGTTTTCCGCGTGTACAATAATGTATGTGTTTCGTGTGTTCAATAATAATATGATGTATGTGTCTGTGCAGAGCGAATACTAGGAACTCGTCAAAACGGGTCGATCTATAAATATAAGGGGGTCGGGTCTCCCCTAATCTCTGACGACGACCCTAAGCGGCCCGCAGATTTCATCCGCTCGCCACCACCGCTGCCGCGGTCTATTAATAACAATATAACATCGATCGGGTAATGTGCAGTGCATCTCTGTCCAAACTCTAAACTATACACACACACACACACACACACACTTGTACACATAATATCGAACCGCTTTTATTAAATAACGCGTGGAGTCGTGGAGGCTAGATTATGTATATACTATACAAGCCTGAACGGTTTCCTCGTAGACGTTCCATTGCTCGTACGCTATCGGTGTAATATATGACGATATTAATATATGATTTTAAATAGCTTTTATTTGCTTTTTACTTGTTGTGTAAGTAGTTTTAATGGCCTAAACAGTTTTTTTTATCTCGTCGTCGCTTATTACCATTGTGTAATCTTTCGGGAAAGTAGATTTCAATAATGCCCACAGAAAAAGAAACATAGCCGAATACTCGCCAGCATTATAACTAGGGTGATGCGGGGGCGCAAATAATAAATATGTCGCTCGCGAAAATCCGTGGTTGCACCAGTGACTTACAAAAATAGTCGTGCTAGACAAGTAGGAGTGGGTGGAGGGTGTGGTGGAGTAATCGTTTTTCGAGTAGCACGGTAGACGGCTGTGCTTTGAGAGTGTACTACTGTTGGCGGTGGCATATAATTATATAATTAAAGTTGACCCGTCTACGTAATTACGCGGTAACGACGATATTGCGCGCATCTCGGCCCGCCAACTCGGACCATCCATCCAACCCGTGCAGACCTGCACGGCACTATAAATACCCACATGGAACACACCCACCCACTCGATCGCACGCAATACAGTAACAACAATAATATTAATGACAAATACTTTCAGCACACAGTTATAAAACAGTAAACATGACGACAAAATAATGATATGCGCACCGCCGAGCGGCGACGGCGGTAACATTTCTGTGTATCCGTTTGCACCACCGTCAGCTGCCACAGCGTGCACGAACCCTATTTACCCACAACCCACTGGGCAGCGTCTCGTACTATTGTATAATATAGTAAGTTGCTGCGACGGGCGGCCATGTGAAAATATGTAACGCACTTGCTTTTGTACGGTATGTGTGTCCCCGTTGTTTTWTACGCGCGCGCGCGCGCACACACGTACACTACATGACATACTACGTGTATTTTTTAGGTTTGGGTGTGCGTATTTTTACGACCAGCCGGGCTTATATTTTGTATTTATTTTTTTATTTTTTTTTCCCGATTTTATGGCCGCCGGAGGGCACTCCCCATATTAGGGAAACGGGCACGACGGTCGGAGTGGAAGAGTGAGTTAGTCGTCGTAGTCGCAGTCGGTTATTATTATTATTCGATTGTGTATAAAATATATAATGCAGCGCGTAGGTAATAACTAATAACGGTGGCCCACCGTCGACGCAGTCACCGCGTTTTCGCATAACATTATTATTAAAATAACATTCGATACAAAATCATTTACGAAATGTTACAAGAAAATAGTTTAATATTACAGTCAAAACAACAACGTTCTCGGAGAGCAGCCGCCACCAGCGTCGTTTGATTTACCGTATTATTATTATTACCAGTTGTATACTTTCTAGTTGCATCAAAGGAAACGTACATACATAATATTATTATAATACTCTAAACACAACCGATGGTTTTTCTCCTCTCGTAATAATAGATTATTCATCACCGGCTCATACCCACCACCACACCGCTCGATATAGGTTACTCCACTCTGACGCTTTTCGTTGTGAATATCGAACAGTTCCATTTTTATATTCAAACTCATAATATTGTCATAATTATTGTACGTCAACGGCGGTGATGAATCTTCGGCCGTGGACTTCCGCGCTTGTAGACGTCGATTGTGCGGATGATGGTAGAGGGGAAGCTCGAGTATTAAAAATAGCCAATGCAGGCGGCAACTTCGCATTCAACGTCGGCCGCGTTATTGTCGCCTCCACTGCATATCGTCGTCCACGTTTRCAGCAGCTGCTACCGAAACGCCACAGCCGCCGCCGTTTTTGGTGCACCGGAAAAGAGTATAACGACGGTGTCCGCTTCGGAAGAGGCGTACGCGCATTTGATGGGTGTGTGTGTGTGTGTGCTGCAGCAGAAGGAGAGGCGTTGCAGCGCTGCAGCTGCCTCACACTGGAACTGCGGTCCGCTGCCACCAAAAGCAAAACGAAGATTACGCGCGCCCGATCCATGTAATGTGTTCAACGACGCGTGGGACAAGTCACATAAAAGCTTTTTCCGAAAATTATAGAATTTATTATCGTTTGTGTGTGCCGTCGAATATCATGCACAGAAAACGGTTAGAAAAAAAAAACTCAACGCTCGTAATGTCAATCCTATACTGCACGTTTCACAGCAGCTGCTTGTAGTGACGAAGACGAATGTKGTTCGCGTAAAGACTGTCGACGGTCGACCGCGGTAACGATAGTGGTCTACGATTATTATTAGTACAGTTTATTTGTGGCATTATTATAATATGCGTACAGCTCTCATACCACGCCGTATATGATATCATGTATAAAATAATATTGTGTTGTATAATATTATTATAATATGGAGAATAGAGAAAGGAGTGTCGTAGTGTGCCGAGCGGTCTGAGCCTGATCAACCCATCGCCGCCGCCGTCGTATATTATGTTCTCGCGTTTCGACTGCTTTCCGGCTTTCCTCCTACTTTCCCCGTCACCAAACTGCCCATTGTTTTTACAATAAGGTCGTTGTAGTCATCGTCATATTTGGTCCTGCCGACGATTGTGTATTACACACGTGATGGTCGTAGTGGTGGTGGTCGTCGTCGTCACTGAGCGTTTCGTTGTTATTATTATTATTATAATAATGTGTAATGTGCAGTAATATTACAATCTTTATTATAATATAGTCAGACCGATTGTGTCCATCCGCCCGTCWCCCTTTAATTATAACGATAACGATAATCTGGTACGTTATTACAGAGTTGTGGTGACTCACTCGAAGGGAGAAACCTGAGACTGTCTAGTGTCTATCTATATCGGCGATTTGAATAATAATGATCATCTACGTGTGGATATATATTATAAAAGAATATTATACAAACGCGTTGAACACACATGATCGTCCAGTCCTCATAATATAATCTCGTTTGGAATATTATAATAAGTACACATGCGAGGACAACGGTATATAATATTGTCTTATAACACAGGTTCTCCTCAATACGARGCTGGACTTGTGGAGGACGGTCACGATAGCGACAACAGCCCCTAAACACCGTGACCTCACCGGAACACCGACACCGCCTCGTCTAACCCTTAAAACCTATTGTCTTACGACGATAATGTGTACCATTATTCTTATTCTTATTATTACTTGTTATTCGACGTTCGCCACCCACAAACCCGCACCGGCGGCGTGTCATACACACACGCAGTCGTACCCAACCACATAGCGACACCGTCGCCGCGTGATCGCGCATATTTAAACGTATTTCAAAATAATATTATACATATTATGTTATGTTTGATTACGATCGCCGATGTGCCTGTCGTGGGCCAAGTTTCGTTTCTTTGTTAATTTTTCTTTTCGTTTGAAATACAACCAAT